GCCTGGGGGGCCAGAGCACAGGGGGGCTGTGAGACTGCCCAGGGCCCTCCTGCTCCCCACAGCAAGTGGCAGCACCCCCTGTTTATTTATCCCACAAGGGCCTATGTGCAGCACCCCAGCTGCATTTGCTGTTTGCTCTGCCGTGAGCTGCTCCGCTCACTGCTCACACCTGCACCTGGCGTGCACTGGGACAGAAAAGCTGCTCCCGCACGGAATTTCAGCTCCCAGCTCTGTGTTTGTAGCTGTGCAGGTTTAGAAAAGCTCTCCCCACTCCAACAGCATTAGCAGTGAGCTTCAATACCCTGAAAGTGGTGGCTCTGCTTCCACAGGCCTGGGCTCATCCTCATGGCTCACTGCAAGAGCACCTGAGCTCCTCTCAGTATTTTCCACCAGTAACTGAACCTCTGCAGACAAGTCTGGCAATAATTAAAGGTTTTTAAGGATTACTTCAGAGGCAGTTTTCTTTGATAAAGTTTGCTCACATGTTCCTTTTGCATGTGCACATGCCACACCAGCAGCTGACGGATGAATCCTCCCACCAGGAAAATGATTTTTACTCATTTTTCCAGGAAAAGATTCCAATTTCCACTAAGCTTTGCTGAAACTGAGATCACAATTTCAGATATTCTATTAGTGTTCCCATTCTCTCTACCTTACATTACAACACCTTTCTGAATAAACATCTTGCCAGTACCACATAAATTAGCAATAATCCCACCAATTCCTACATACTGTGAGTAACTATTGGTTCACCAGATCTGTTTTAATGGACATAATAAAGCTGTACAAGGAGTAAGTTAAAAAAACTCCACAGATAGAAATATTGAGTTTGAAACACTAAGCAAACATATTTGCCTTGCAATAGCTACTCCTTTAAAGCCCTTCCTCTGTTTGCACTTCAAATAACTCCAGTGTTGACAGGCAGCAAGCACAGGCAAATGTGTTGAACAATACTTTCCCAGAAGTGAAATGCAACATAAAAATAAAGCAAAAAGGTATGTGTTGTTTTTAAATATAAAGTAACTCCCCAATTATTTCCTGAATACATCCAGCAGGATATTTGCTTGCTCAAGGGAGAAAATTTGCATTTCTCTCGGGTTTTATGGGTGAAACAGACTCTACTTCACATAATGCATTAATATATTTATTACTATTATTCATTAGCATATTTATTGCAGGGCCAAATTACCCCCTCTGGTGCACCTGACTAACCTCACAGAAGATCTCTGCAGAAGGCAGCCAACCTGCTCACCACTACAGAGGAGAGAGAGCTGACCAGGCAGTGCCCCTCACCTGCCCCAAAATTCAACTGTACAGCCACCACTCTGTTCCCAGGCTCAGAGGCCAAGGCATTCCCTGGCCCTGGCAGGTTTAGAAAGCCTTTAATGGGACACACTTCCCTGAACACAGCTGGAGGTATTTCAGTGTTCTGCTGTGTCTCAGCACACCTCACTCCCTCCACTCCATTTTCCCAGTCCTACTCCACGAGCACAGTAAATAAGGAGGAGCTCAGTGTGAAACACGAGTGCAGAGCCAAAAAGCTGCTCTCTGCAGAGAGAAGGAACTGTGGAATGCACGTTCCCTGCAAGCTCTGCTGTGGCACTAAATAGGTCAGTGCAGGCACTGTGGGCAGCCTGGCACTGCTGGGCTCTGCAGGTCAGTGCTCCTCAGGCAGCAGCCCGTGCAAAATGCCAGGCACAAATGCTCTCTCTGAGAACCTGGAAGTGAAACACCAGCCCCAGACTGCCAGGGCTGCACACTCACACACTGGCAGCTGCTGCTTTCAGCTACTGAGCTGACTGAAAGGAAGATGAAGCTCTTTAACATCCAAGATCCCACTTGCTTACCTGGACTCTGGCATTAAAAAAATAACATCCGAATTATAAAATTGAGAAATCACATAAAAATATTCCAAAGCAAAAGAGAAAATATTATCTGTTTAAGAGGGCACCCTGAAGTCACCTGCATATATATGTACACATGCATATATATATTTAATATATTTTCCAAGTCAGTATTCACATGCTGATCATTTCTGAAGTACAGTATCAGTACTTATTAAAAACGAGTTTGGCTGCTCATTGTGACAAAGCTGACTTCACTGCTATGTCACTGCTGGAACTAAGAGCAGACACTTTGTGCTGAAGGCAAACAGGCTGCTGCCATGTGCCCTTTGAGAGCAGAAGTTAAAATGTCGTTCCTACCTTCATTGTTAGTAGCATTCTCTGCCATGGGTGCAGTGGCACTGGTTCCTGCTGCCATATCCAAGAGAGGCTGAATGATTTCAATTTTAAATACTCCATTTTTCTGCCAGAGGTTCAGAACACGAACTATTTTACTCTGTTGAAACAAAAGGAAGCACCAATGCTGAATCCAGCTTTCTTCTGTTTGCAGAGAAGGTTTGAATGAACAGCAAGTGACATAACCACACCAACTTAACAAGCCCTGTGTCGTGACAGAGGGCAGCAACACCTTTGAAGTGGCAAAGATAAAAACTGCCAACTTTTTTTACTGTCACAGCAACCTGTGACATTTCCCTAAAACTCTTCTGGCCAGGCAGAAATCCAGGTGTGATGGACAATCCAGAACATCATTTCAGCCCCATGTCTACACAGGGATGAAACACCCAACCCATGTGACCAAAAAGAGAAAAGGAAAATAAGCTGGAAAGCCTTCATGAAGAGAGGGACAGTTAGACCAGAAAATGCTGCCACAACACCTTGAGGTCAGATTGAGCACCTTGCTTGGTATTGTGCCTAATTCTATGCTGAGACCAGAAACTGCATCTCCATCATTATCCAAAAGATGAGGAAAGCAAGTGGAAACATCCTCGCTGATCACTGCAGGATTAATTTAGAGTCTCTGATTGTCAGCTGTTATTTTAAGCTTTTTATTTTGTACATGGAGAACAATGCAGCTTCCAGGAACAAGCTGCAAACTGGCCTTTCCTCCTTCAGCCCAGCATTCAAACAAAAAACTCTCAGTAGTTGTGCTGCTTCAGCTGGAACATGCAAGCAGGTAGAAGGCAGAACACATGTTGGATTGCTGCCCTTTCTGCAGACTTAGTCATTCACCTGCACACACAGAAGCTTCAAGTACCTTTCAGTTCAAATTAATTGATTCTCTTCTTTCACTGTGACTCAGTTTTATACACCCATGTAAATCCACCTCTAACTAAGTGATTAAAAAAATTTTACAAAATGTTTGCTAAAATAACATCCATTATAGAGAAACTTGAAGTGTCTATTTTTAAGTAACATTTTGGTCTGAAAAACAGTTAACTTCTTTTTGCTTTGGGTATTTTATCTCCCCAGAGAACTTGAAAATCATACAAAGGTCAAAAAATGGGCAAAAGCAATACTCCAATTTTCAGTCACATATTAATTTTGCAGAAAGGCTGTTAAAAAAAAAAGTAGCATTATCCTCTTCAGATATCCCCCACAGCCGTTGAGGATCTGCAGATTAGGGTTTGTTTTTTTTTTTTTTTAGGAAACAGAACTTCATTAAAGCAAGTGTGTTTTAAATAATAATATTCCCTATTTCAAGTAGTTCCATGAAGGAGGTGGACAGTCTCATTCACTCAGATGAACAAAATGGTAATGCAGAAAGGAGAAGGGACTGCTCTGTTTCACAGGCCAGCAATCCAGGAGCTCCCAAATATCAAATATGCCTGAAGGTCTAAATGTTCCACATTAGAAAACTGCAGAGCATCGAAGCCTTTCAAAAGCTTATTTAGAGAGTCAGAGAGGAAGTCAGGTAGAAAAGGACTATTTCACTTTTCCAAAGAGAAAGGGAGTAGGTGATTTTCTGGAAACCAACTGGCAGCTTCTAAACCACACTGTTCTTGGGAGTCTCAAAACTGTTCTGACAAAGGTCACAGAAACCATCTTCTCTGGACCATCAGGAATTCACAGCACTTTCTGAGCCTCTGTTCTACTAAAAGGTACAGCAGAACTAAGAAAAATGAGGCCTTAGACCAGCCCTGGCAGTGGAGAGCACCAACAAAACTCAAGTATTGGATTGGAAAAGACTAAAGAAATGAACATGATGATTTTCTTAGAAAACATTTCTGAACAGAACAGTCTCTGCCAACAAAACCAAAGCTTCTCCTGCAATGCTGTCTTGTTGTGGCAGGAAGTTCTGAAGGAGCCTCAAGAACTTTTGCCACACTTACACTGCTGAAGTGTGTGTAAAAAAAATAATGAGGTCAGGCAAAATCTATTTTAACTTGAATTTGCATTTAGCTGTCATCTGTGATAACCCTCAGCAGCAGTCACTGCCAGGGTGAGAGAGAACCCCCAAATCACTACCCAGGCAGCACCCATCAGAGCCCAGCAACACCTGAAGGGCTCGTCCTACCTTGTCTTCAGATGGACACAGATACAAATACTGGAATGTGGCAGTGATGTTCTTGGAGAACCTGGGCCCAAAGACGTCCTTGTCGGTGCCGAACTGGTGCCGGGACTGCCGCACGATGGAGTCGATGACGTACAGGCCCGGCACTTTGTACTCCGGCTTGCACTGCAAACAGCACCGGGGTGAGTGAGAGGGGAACAGAGCCTGAGAGTCCCTGCACACTGCTCTGGGGCTGGAACCCTCTGAGCCTCCCTGCACACTGCTCTGGGGCTGGAACCCTCTGAGCCTCCCTGCACACCTGCTCTGGGGCTGGAACCCTCTGAGCCTCCCTGCACACCTGCTCTGGGGCTGGGACCCTCTGAGCCTCCCTGCACACCTGCTCTGGGGCTGGAACCTGCTCTGGGGCTGGGACCTGCTCTGGAACCCTGCTCTGGGGCTGGAGTCCTGCTCTAGAACCCTGCTCTGGGGCTGGAACCCTCTGAGCCTCCCTGCACACCTGCTCTGGAACTCTGGTCTGGGGATTCAACTCAGCTCTGGGGCTGGAACCTGCTCTGGGGCTGGGACCTGCTCTGGAACCCTGCTCTGGGGCTGGAACCCTCTGCGCCTCCCTGCACACCTGCTCTGGAACCAGAACCCAGCTCTGGAACCAGAACCCAGCTCTGGAACCGGAACCCTCTGAGCCTCCCTGCACACCTGCTCTGGGGCTGGAACCTGCTGCTCTGGAACTCTTCTCTGGGGCTGCAACTCTGCTCTGCAGCCCAGCCCTGCTCTTCCTGCCCAGGCAAGCATGAACACTGCACTCTCTGGAATGATCTATTGTCTCAGGGATGATTCCTTTCAGTTCAGCACCTCCAGGTGCCTCCCCAGCTGCTGCACAGGGAAGGTGGAAATCTCACCATTTACTGCCTTCCTTCCCTCCTTAATGTGTTATGGAAAACTACAATGTGGAACTCACACAGACAAAGTGATACCTAGCAAACCAGAACTTCCTCCCTCAATCCCTAAGGAACAAACATTTCTGGTTATTCTCTAGCATTATTACCATATCTAGCAATGCATATCAATACATTTCTTTTTTTACTTTTTACCTTTTTGATAAACTTCTCCACAATCTGGACAACGTGCTTGTAGAGCTGGAAAATAAATACATCCATTCACTTATCATCTGCTCAGCAGTGGCACATCCTTTTAGAAGCATTTTAACTCTTTGTGCTTACTACCATTTCAGAAAGGCTACAGAACATTGCAGTCACATTCCAAAATGCAGAATGTTCCCAAACAGAAAAATATTCCATGGGGAAAGCCAGGCCCAAGCCAGAAGTGTGTCAGTGTGCACACAAGGCACAGAGCTTGCCAAGTACTAGTGAAAGCTTTCTGGATTTACTTTCTCTGCAATCCACACTGGTTTCACATGCTAAGGTGCAGCTGCATCCTGCAATATTTAGTTTTATTACACACAATCACAACACTCGAGTGGGTGTAGCATGAAAAAGCAACGACTCAAAGAAATCAAGCTGGCATTTTGCTCCCAGCCCAAAACCAAGGGATGAGATTCACCACCCACTTGTTTCTAGACAACAGCCTTAACAGCAACTAGAATAAACCATCCCCCAAGCTGAGATTGGGAAATCCTGAGTATTTACTTACAAGTGAAATAATAAAACAGTGCTGCTGTTCCAGTTTCATCTTTGTTTTATTGTACTTTACCTTAATAGCTTTAATGGCAGCTTTTGTGATGAGAATCATCTTTGCTCGGGAAATAGGAGGTTTCATCTCCATCAGTGAGAAGAGCTAAACAGAGAAAACAAACATTAGAAATGCACTCTCAAGTTCAGCAATTAAGCAAAAGCAACATTTCAGGTGGGTGATTGGAGCGGTGCCATCCCACACTGTGCTGGCTGGCCCTGGGAGGAGCGGCTGCTTTACAAAGCCAAGGAAATCCGCATTTACCAGCTAAAAACAACTGCTCCAACTTGGCTGCCTGACCCTCATGTGGCTCCCAGGGGAAAAGTTCACTCCTCAAGGAGAACCTCTGCAGAAGTTATTGATATTATGTGAAGTTTCGAGAGGTTTATGTGAAGTATACAGAAGTTATGTGCCATCTTTATGGGTGACATTGGCCATAACTGAAAATAAGCATTAGCTCCACGTTTCAGAAACTGAGGGAAACCAGGACTGCACACAGAAAGCTGAGCATACATACATAATTGTTTTTACCTTGAAATATTCCTCACAAATCACATAAAAAACTGGTTTGTGTTACATAATTTCATTTTTGTCTTCATCATAAAGAAAAAATTGAGCCTTTGAACGCGAGTGAAAAATGTCATCAATTATTTGCCACACAGCAAAGTAAGAGAATCAAAGTGTCTCCATTTGTCAGTGTAATGGAAAGTAAGATGTCATTTAAAACTTTGTCTCTTATGTTATTAATTAAAGTTCCAAGATACTGGTGAAGTGACCAACTTACACAGATTTATCCACTGTCTCAGTTAAGGAAAAAAACCATCAATGAAGGGGATAAAAAATTGGCCACAAGCTCAGAGAAAAGGGAAGTGCTAACAGGGCTCTGAGCTGTACAAAAGGAAGCCTTACACTTAGGAAACACCAAGAGTAGGAAATTTACTTTCTTATTTTGTATCTACTATCTTAATTTGATTCCTGTTCCAGGAGACAGGAAAGAAGAAAAGCTGTCCTTGCAGACAGTGGTAGCCACATGCCTTTTCCAACACCAACACAAGCCCATGACTTCTCATTATTCATCCCCACAAAATACAAGTTCTTGAGCCAGAACGTTGGGGTTTTAAAGCCACTGCAGCTGTAAGAGATACCCCAGCTAACATCACTGCTTGCTGAGAAATCACAGTATGGACAAATGAAAACTGCCAGATAAAACACAGAAGGAGAGAGGGCTCTGTGAGCTGATATGGGTTTTTTAAAAAATCTTTTCAGTTTAAACTTAAGTTCTTTAGAAACAAGTGCAGAGACTCCTGATGAACAAAGTCAGTGCTATTATTAAATCTCAGGAAAATCTGTTTGAAGAGGTTACAAAATGGGGGGGAGAAATCCAAACCCCAACACCCACAAACAAACCACCAGAAGGCTCCAAAACTGAGATGGGGAGGAAGAAGAAGAGGCAGCATTACAACAGACACTCCATATCCCCTCCCTTACCCATGAAGAAGCCACTGGCTCCTCCAGGAAAGGATCCAGTCCCACAGAAAAAGAACAAAGGAGCGGGTGTGGAAGCACTGCTTTGATGTTTGGATTTCAGGAACACAAGGAGAGACCCCAAGGAAACTGGGGGAGCTCAAAGCAGGGCCCAAGGTGACAAGAAACGAGAGCAGCAAAATAACAGAAAGAAATGTCCTAAAAGTATCCCAAGCAGGACATTGCAACTGGGGGAAACACAGAAAAAAATAAAAATCCCAGGACACAAACTGCCAGGGAAAAAGAAAGCACTGATACAGGAGTGTCCATATCTATCTATCTATCTATCTATCTATCTATCCATCCATCCATCCATCCATCCCTCTCTTTTCACCCCCCCCACCACCTCCTGGAATTTCACCTCAAAATTTTGCTCCTTTTTTGAAACTACCTAACATGTCAGAACACCAAATAACTATTTATAGTCAATTTTGACGTCATTCTTGGTATGTTACATGTCAACACCATGTTTTAGAGATGGCTACAGCTAAACTTTAGCTCCCTTCCTAGTTCCTTGTGGTTTCTCCCTGCTGGAAGGAGGAGCTGCTCAGAGGACACCCAGGTATTTCCAGTTGCATTTGCTCAATTAGACCTGGATCTTCTTGCACACACATTTCCCAAATCAATATATAAAACAATCACCCAAGCACTATCTATAGAGGGCTGGTTCACAATAATACATCCAGTTTCTCATGATCAGCTCAAGGAACAACTTGGACACAAAAATTTGCACTCTATTTACAAAAAAAAAAAAAGGATGTAACACAGGCAAAGCAAATGTACAGCTTGAGGTTTTCCAGAGTCCTGCCTCACAACAGGAACCTGTGCCTGCAATGCTGCGACCTGCCAGAAATGACTTTCTGCTTTTACTGCCCCTAACTGCCTCTTTGCAGGATGTGGATACAAAAGAAGCAGAGGTGTTCAAGGGTATTAAACTCAGGCCACAGTACAAAATATTTAAGATTTAAGAGTATTTCTGGGTGCCTCTCCCAGCAGGACAGAAGTACACGGTAAAGTACCTGCAAAGCCAGGGATGCAAAAGGCAGAAAATTCACCTGCTCATTTTCGGCTAAAAATGCTGTTAAAGCACAGCAGGCCAGCAAAAGGGAGACCAAGGCCAGAGGGCCTGTGCCCAAATGCACAGTGAGTGTGAAATCCAGGAGCTCACACGGGGCAGAGTGAGCACAGCCCTTCCAGCTCCCACTGGGCCCCTGCTCCAGCCCAGCAGCCCTGCGAGGTGCAGGCAATGCACAAGGAACAGGTGCTGATGGCCTTCACTTCTCAGCCTTCTGAGCAGCAAATGATTCATTTCTCTCATTCTATAATTAATGCCCCCTGATGGTTTAGTTTACATGGAAGCCTGAGAACCAGGGGGTTCTGAAGTAAAGGGGAGAAGTGCTACTTTAACATTTACCCAGCTTGATGTATGATATTAAATCTGTTTTATGTCTGGGTAACACAGTAAAAGTGCCTTTTAGGACTTGAGCTGACTTCCTTGGCTTTGCCCTCCTGCTCAAGTGTCTGTGCCATAGAAAGGTGTCTGTGTTTACAAACAAAGAGCTGCGGGCCCGTTTTATCCAGTCACTGAACAAACCCCAGAGCACAGCAGCGGCACAGAGAGGAAGGAGCTCCAGAAGCAGACAGGGGTTAGTGATTAGGGGATATCAAGCACCCAGGTCATTGTCAGGACACCTCATTCAGCCTCCCCTTCTCCAATTTCCAGAGCAGTCTAACACACCCTCAGCCATCCCAACACGCCTTGGGTGTCCAACAGCCCTTCCCAAAGCAGGCTCCACGTTCATTCACTGTCTTTTGGAATGGATTTTATTCCTGCATTTAGAAAGCAGCCAACCTCCAGTGACTCACAGGCCTAGCTGCAGTTACTTGTTCCTGTACAGAGACAAAGGGATTGTGGAGGACACAACCACCAAGCACAGCTATTGCACTATTTTGTTAACAAAACACTTTTATTGCTAATGCATGGCCAGATCTCTAAAAGCAATTCTGTCACTCTGGACATTTTCCCTCCCCTACAGAAGTCACTGATCCCTTTCCTCTTCAGGCCCCCGTTTTTCCTTGAGGGAAGGAGAAGGATGTGTTGCTAAGCTGTATCTCAGAGGATCAATGCAAGTTTGAAATGCCTGACCACCAGCTGTGAAGCACAGCAAGTGGTAGGTGCTGCTGAAGGTAAGAGAACACCACAACACCCAGAGCTGTCAGGCTGCATTCTTTGGGAAATAAGTGAGATTTGACTTGGACCAGCTCTGACCCCCAGGCAATGAAGCTCAGCAGCACTTCATCAAGCAAACTACTTCTGCGGCCTGGAAAGACCATTCACAAATCCTGAACCACTGGGGAGAAACATCTTCACAAAAGATACTCTCATGAAAATGACATCATGCAAGGGCACAGAATGGAGTTTTGTTTCTCCTCATGTGCTCTGGAAAAGCAGCTTTGGGGAGCAGTGCAGGGCTCTTTGTCCAGCCCATCTCCTGGAAAGCTGCTGGTGCCCCTGCTTCCAACCAGGAATCCCCACACAGTGTCACAGCTGCCAGGGCTCCTGCGAACAGGCTCAGGGCAAAGAGAGCCCAGGCAGACCCTGGCACTTGTGTCCTTCTGCTTTTCTGTGCACACGGAGCCCCACTGGGGATGCTGAGCTCCAGGAACTGCAGCAGAACCACGGGAAGGATATCCTGCTGCCCTCTATTTATAGCGCCTCAGGATGGAGGGGAGGGCTGTCCCCAACGGGCACAAACTGCCCCACTGGATCCAAACTGGCCAGTGCCCTAAGGATGGGCAAACAGCAAAAGGGAACGTGCAGCTCCAGCTTGAAATAACAGCCCCAGCACCTCCCGTGTGTTTGTCTCCAGGCACATGGAGGTGGGGGATCAATTGTTTCAGGGGCACACATTAACACTGAGACACGGGACTGAGTGAGCGATGTGCATTACTCAACACAAATAAAAGATTACAAAACAGGAAAGCTGACTTTATTCTACTTCTAGCAGCAAGATTGTGGAAAAGAAAATCTTTACGTCTAACTTTTATAACCAGTAAACTATGCCTCAAGTTTTCCAGATTAAAGAAAAAGACAGGCATCCCCTAAACTAAAACATACCAAGGATTTATATGGCAGATGTTCAGTGGGGAGTTTTTTGTTTGTGTTTTGGGGGTGTGATTTTTAAATTTTTTTTTCAAAGAAAAATGTTTGCTTGTTTCCTAAAAACCATAAAAAGTTCTGTCTCATTATGCAGTTGACTTTTGTGATTTATTTATGCTGTAACATAACATACCCATCTAAGAGCACATCAATTCTAACTGGTGAAATGAACTCCTCAGAGAACACACACTGCACTCCAGACCTGTCAGATCCCCCCCATTCAGCTGGCAGCACCTGCTCAAACCACAGCTGCACGAAAATAAAGCAGCCAATACAAAACCTCTGCACGCTCCTGTAGCAACATGAGCACTTGGAAGAGGATGTTCATTGGCAAAGCTGCACTCAAAACGCAGGTCCAAAGAACAGGATTGGCAATGGCACCACAATCCAACACAAATTACACAACCCAGGAGTTCCCACC